ATAATTATTATTTGTACTATAAAAGATATATTTAGCATTTTAATATTTACATTTAATATTTTGTATTATTTTTTATTGAAAAGACATAATAAATGAAATATCGAAATTAATGATATGCATTCTCACGTACAATAATGTTCATTTCGTATAACATTATTATGTAGTATATCGATCAGGTATTTTTTATGTGCATTTAAATTATAGTGACGTTGATAATGTATTTTCGATTAACGTTGTCTTTTATTATAAACTTATTTATATAATAAAGATATATATAGTAATTTTAATTTTTTATTCAATATTTTACATATTGTGTGTTAAAAATAAATAATATATATATATATTGATGAAGTATGAAATTAGTACGTTTTTATATAGTTCTATCAGTTATGTTATTTCTTTATAAATAAACTCAAAACCAGACATATATTTTAATGTATGTGAAAATGCACACTATCATAACATTTTTTTTCGTCACACGATGTTATTGTACGAAACACATTGTTATGATAATGTGCATTCTCAAACGCATTAATGTGCATTTGATCCAACACTATTGTACAATGTGACAGACATTAATGTGCATCATTTTGAATACTATTGTTAGCAATGAATATGTGTATTAAACCATTTTAATACTATAAATTATTAAGACAAGCTCATCACTTAATGCTGATATCTACCAAAATTCTCTACACGAGCAGCAGCCGCCTCTAAAATGGTGAAACCGGTTGTTGTCCCTGACAATAATTTCCCTACCCGTCACAGTCGAGGCCACCTTCATAAACTCATGGCAGTCTCCACAGATCCTGAGGTTCTTCATAATTCTTACCGGCATATTCGGAGGCAAGCACATAATGCCGAACGTGAATGTCAGCTTCTCACTGTGGTGCTTTAGTAGCTCTCTTTTGTAATCATCCTCAACATCATGTAGATCGTGTTCAACCACACCTTTGAAACCGAATGCCTCCATCTCCTTCATCAACTCATCCAACCTATGATATATCTCACCCGCACGATCATGCTTGCTCTCTCCAACCATGAAAGAATGAACTCTGTCTTTAATCTCGATCCAACTCTTGCCTCTCTCTTTCTTAGCCTCGCTACTTTTCAGAAGCTTCCGAGCAGCGGCAACTTCTTTCCACCTACCATTAGCCGCATATACATTAGAAAGCAGCACGTGATTTCCCGCGTTATGAGGCTCGATCTCAAACAAATTCCGGGCCGCCAACTCTGCCACCTCAACATTCCCATAAACCCTGCAAGAAGCCAAAAGCGATCCCCACATGGAGGCCGTGGCCTCAAACATCATCTCGTCGATTAACTTTTTAGCCTCGTTTATTCTTCCTGCCCTGCCCAAAATGTCGACCATGCACGAGTAGTGAAGCACGTTGGGGGACATTTCATGTTTGCTCGTCATCAGTTCAAAGTACTTACGACCCTCCTCAGCTAAGCCCATATGAGCACAAGCAGATAAGACCGAAACATAAGTTACCTCATTCGGGCACAAAAACTCTTGCTGCATTTTTTCAAACATTATCATAGCTTCCAAAGGCCTGGCGTGTCGGGCAAGGCCAGATATCATCGTGTTCCAGAGGACAACATTCTTATTCTTCTTCTCCACATCCGAGAAGACTGCATACGACTGATTAATACTCCCGCATTTAGCGTACAAATCCACAAGAGTAGAAGCAATATATTCGTTCGTACCAAAACCGGTTTTGCAAACCACGGCGTGCATTTGTCTCCCTTCTATAAAAGCAGCCAAGGCAGAGCAAGCACTGAGAACAGAGGATATAATGTATCTGCTACTGCCCATACCAGCCCTTTGAGCCCTCAGAAACAAAGCTAAAGCCTCCTCGTAAAGACCATTTTGCACGAGACGGGCAATCATGGAACTCCAAGTGACATCGCTCTTTTCTGTCATGGACTCGAACACCCGAAAGGCATCCGAAACCAAACTGCACTTGGCGTAAACGTCGAGCAGTGCAGTGCCCACGTATGCGTTTGACTCCATGGAAGACTTAACTGCAAAAGCATGCAGTTGTTTGCTCTCAAGGTCCAAGCCTCGGGATACACAAGCACACAGCACGCTCGACAAGGCGAATTCGCTGAACTCCGAACCATCGCCCAGCATCCTCACGAAAAGTCTGAGAGCCCCTTCTCCATTCCCATTCTGACCGTAAGCGCCAATGATCGTATTCCAAGAAACCGCATTTCTCACGCGCATTTGATCAAACACCTGGCGGGCGTAGTTCAAAAGACCGCACTTTGAGTAGAGATTGATGAGTATGTTTGAGGTCCGAGTGTCTGATTGCAAACCAAAGTGTATGATCTGCGCGTGGGTGGACTTTCCCGGCATGATAGCCCCGTGTTTGGCGCATTTTTGGAGAAGGGTATGCTGAGTAAGCAGAAAAGTTTCTCTTGTGCAGACCCAAACACGGTCTTCTTCTTGGATTGTCGGGCCGAGTTGAGCAGTGCATGTTGATGAAAGGCTTCTGCAATGCGTGCGGCAAGATTTATAGCTCCTGCACAAGGACAAGGCTTTCATCTAAATCTTCAAACCAAAGCTAATATTTCTATGGCCATGGACTGTTCGCATTATTTTACTTCATCTAATATTGTACTTATTGTATCATGTCTTTATTGCACTACCTTGCCTTTCTCAAATAAGGATTATACCAACTTAAAGTTTATAAGAGCAACTCCAAGAGTTCCCTAAAAAGTTCTTCCCCAAAACAATGTATTGGGGCTCTCCCTAAAAAAAAACTTCCCTACTTATCATCCCACAGCAGATTGCTAATAACTAGTCCCTAATATTTTAAAACAGGCCACATCATTGTAATTGGGCCCATCCACGCACAGAAACTCGAAGCAGAAAAACTCTCCAGTCCCCACAGCCGCCGCTGTTGCCTAGGTCGACGTCCAGTCCCCACAGCCGCCGTTCGACGTCTTCGCTGGAGTTGTCGTGTGATAGGTAAAACGAATTCGGTATGAGTCGACGAAGCCTTTCCATGCAGCTGGTGCTGAGTTCGTCGTCAGATGATGACGTTGATGAATTCCTCCTCTCCGTTACTCACGTGGCCATGAATGCCGATGAGTCTGACGATGAAAAAAAACATCGTGGTTCTATCATAGGGCATCGAGTACTTGATCGAGACAGACACGCAGGACATCATAGGTTGTACCAAGATTATTTTTCAGATGATCCTACGTACGGACATAGTTATTTTAGACGAAGGTACGTAAACAATAGATTTATTTGGACATTTTTTTTTTTATAAATCCATATTTATACGTCTCATTACTTTTGAATTACAGGTTTCGAATGAGGCGTACACTGTTTGTACGCATATGGAATGCCGTAGAACAACATGATCAATATTTCGTACAGAAAAGAAATGCTGCCGGTATACTTGGATTGTCTAGTCTGCAAAAGATAACTGCAGCATTCCGGATGATAACTTATGGAATAGCAGCTGATGCTACAGATGATTATATACGTATTGGCGAGAGTACTGCTATTGAGAGTCTGAGAAGGTTTGTCAGTTCCGTTGTGGAGGTGTTTGGAGATGAGTACTTGAGATCACCTAATGAAGATGATACTGCTAGGTTACTAGCAATTGGAGAGAGTAGAGGTTTTCCTGGTATGCTTGGCTCGATTGATTGCATGCATTGGAGGTGGAAAAATTGTCCTTCAGCATGGCAAGGTATGTACACCGGGCATGTGCATGAGCCTACAATTATACTTGAAGCTGTGGCCGATAAAGATCTATGGATTTGGCATGCTTTCTTTGGGATGCCTGGTTCCCACAACGACATCAACGTTTTGCACCGGTCTTCTTTATTTGCACAGCTAGCTGAAGGTCAAGCTCCAAAGGTGAATTATAGTATTAATAACAACGAATATACAATGGGTTATTATCTCGCCGATGGCATATATCCCTCGTGGGCTACGTTTGTGAAGACCATACCTGAACCACAAGGTAATAAGAAGAAATATTTTGCAACTGCACAAGAAGCTTGTAGGAAGGACGTTGAACGAGCGTTTGGGGTTCTACATGCTCGTTTCGCAATCGTCAAGGGACCGGCTCGATTTTGGGATGAAGACACCCTCGGAAATATCATGCGAGCTTGTGTCATTATGCACAACATGATAGTTGAGGATGAGCGCGATGAGGAACATGATTTAATTTATGATGGAGTAGGAGAAAATGTGAAGATGTCTCATTGTGCGACACCTGAACTTGTGGAGTTTATTAAGAATTACAAAAATATAAAGGACAGAGTAATTCACAGTCAACTTCGAGATGACCTCGTTGAGCACCTGTGGCAACATCATCCCGACATGTACAAATGATTACCTATAGTCAATATTTATTCTTTTTTTTTTCATTCATTATGGATAACTTGTATCATGTTTATGATGATTGATGGGAATAAAACAATCAGGGTCCTTTAGTGAATTGGATTTGTGTAAGTTTGCTTTAGTGAATTGGATTTGTGTAAGTTTGCTTTAGTGTACAAATGGGGACGAAACATTTTTTTATTGTGTGACTTTGATTTCTGCTTCTGATTTAGTGTACAAATGGGGATGAAACATTTTTTACTCAACAATCAGGGTCCTTCTGATTTTTTTAGTGTAAGTTTGCTTCTGATTTCCTTTAGTGATTTCTGCTCATGTTTTTACTCGAAACATTTTGAGTTTTTCTACAACTAATTAATCGAACTAAGAATTGATTTAATCAATTCTTTGATTCCTTTTGCAAATGCTGTCAACTTTTGATTCTCAACTGCTTGTGCTTCCAAAGCAATCAACCACTTCCTCTTGAAGTAAAAAAAAAAAAAAGTACTCTTTAGAAGATTCAAATACAAATAAAGATCAAACATCACACAGTAACATGTTGGAAAAAAAAAACATCAAAGTAGCAACTAGTACTATTTAGGAGAATAGAATTCTAATTAAATACTCGACTCATGATCTCAGCCCGCAAGCACATGTAGTATTTTTTTTGCTCATCTGGCATGGCACTAAGATCCATGGTCATAATCCTCTCTTCATCCCTCTTCCTCTGCAATTGGACCTCCTGACTCCTCACCTCAAGAAGTAGTTTTTCATTTGCAACTCGTTCCTGTTCAAGAGCAAATGCTTTGTTGAACCTCTGATCTTTCTTTAGCTCTTTCTCCCCATCAGTTTCTTTTAACTGTGCCCACATATTTTCTAAGGTTGCTGTCACACTTTTTTTCTTCTCTTGCAGCAATGCTGCTTTTGCCTTCTTCTTACCAATTGGCCTTGTCAACGCATTAGCATCTAAGTCTTCAACTGCATCTTGTCCTACTTCACTTGGTGAGGTTGCACTCGGATCAGCAGAAGACCTTGACTTCTGCTTCTTGTTAGATGTTTTAGCAGCAGCAAATTCATCAAGTTTAGCAAGCCATTTCGGTTGTGTTCTCAGCTTATTCCAGCAATGCATAAACTGAAATGCTTTGTTATGTTGGTCTTCGGCCTTGTACAAAGCACATGCCTCTGCAACCTGCACACACCAACATCCAAGGGATATTCATTTATGAGATATAATAAAAATAGTCGAAACAAATCCATCTTAAACAAGTGAGTAATTACCTTGTCTTGCATTGTAGTACCACTTTGACGCCTTAACTCAATCCGTGTTAGACATCCACAAAAACTGTTCATACATTTCTGTATGGTCTCCCACCGGTGCATTAGAGAATTAATGGTACGCGTTGATTCGCACGTCTTGTGCTCATGGAAATAGTCACAGATACGAGACCAATACCTGCCACCTTTTTGATCTTTGCCTACGACCGGATCCAAACTTATATTCAGCCACGCTGAAACCAAAACCTCATCTTCGTGGTCACTGAAATTCTTTGATCTCTTGTGGTTTGGCCTCGCAGAGGGGACTGCTGGACTAACTTGCATTGCTTGTGACTGATGGTCAGCATTCGTGTTGCTATAATTATCAAAATCCCCTAGATTGGTTTCAACCATCATGTTGGAAAAATATCCATTTCCTGCAAGCATTTAACCAGTGTTAATTCTTCAGACAAAGCCTAAAGACAGAACAAACAGAAACGGGCTATGGCCACATTTTTTAACAGATCAACAACACATTATCAAAGAATTACTTTTACAGATCACTGAACAGTAGCAAGGTAACTCAAATCATTACAGAAACCAAGACTCATAGAACTAAACATGAATTTGATTGACAAATGCAAGGCTTCAAGATTCTTTGATTCTCATCAAGCAAAGCACAAATTGCCGGAATTAGTGATTACAAAAGAGCACAAAGAACAGACATTTTTCTGCATGAAATCCAGAGGAAAAGAATAACAACAAAGTAGGTAAAACTTCAGTCCCACAGCTTTTAAAGTTAATGGTCACCTCAACAACAAATACTCCAAAACAATGGCATGGACTTTCAATAGCCTCAACAAATCAAAGCACTTCAAAGCATTAATTACATCACCCTCAGCTTTGTAGGATAAATTGTTTCTCAATGGCTCAAAAAGCTAATCCAAGACTATATCAAGAAATCTTTCTTGTTTTCGGGATTCTAAGTGTTATATTGTTGGCACAAAATGGTGATGCATATGATTACAGGTTATAGATTCATACCATTTAGAAAAGTGTTGTCGTTGGCCATGTCCTCAAAGGATGCAGAGGGGGCGTAGCTGCCAGAGTACGGCTCCGCCAGGGGATCATCATTGTCTCCAGCAAGGCCTGCCATCGGAGGACATGGTGGTAGTCGACCCTGCAGCTCACTTTGCATCTCAACTCCACCTGACTGGCCGACCCCGTCGTTCAATTGGGAGTTGGGGCCGCCGGCAGCCATGACCCGGTGCATTTCCTGGTCGCCGCGCCGCTGTTGCCTTGGTCGGATGGGATCGATTGGTGGCTGCATCTGCAACCCTTTCGCGCCGCCGCCGATGCTTGATTTCCCCTCTTGGCCTTCCGCGAAATGGCGCGCGAGGCTTGATAAATATCGCGGGAAAGGAAGCAGGAGGCGATTGGGGAAGGAATTGGCACCCCACAAATATACGCAGCAAGGAGCTGGAGATTGGGGAGGGCGAAAAAATGGGGAAGATTTAAGGGATGTGTTGGAGGACAATTTTACTGTGTTTTAACCCTAATAGCAAATTAGGGATAGTTTAAGGGATGTGTTGGAGTTGCTCTAAGACCTTTAAATATAAGGATTGTCCAAGGTTTATAAGATGCAACGAAAATAGGTTGGGAATAAAGGGGGTAAGCTAATGAGTCAGCACCTTCCCAACCGTCGGATGGAAGATAGATCGGAAGGCCGCCACTAAAGGAGCATTTAATGGGTACGTTGCACGAGAATGGAGGACATCACAGTTCATGAGGCGGTTATGTCGACATGACGTTTGGTCTGACAAGGAGGTGGGATTGCATTTCAAATTTTGAATTCAATACCTCAGACGGAGGTCGAAGACATTGATTCAGAATGTTAAAAAGTTCGAGCAACCTGGTCGAGTAGTGCAAGTTGTAACTCACCAAGCAGGAACAAAAACAAAAATCTACTCTTAGATCGAGTTATCTTAAATCGATCAGAGCTGAGGGACCAGATTATGAGATACCATACCGAACCGAAAGACCTGAAGAACCAGCCACCGGGCAGGGCTAAACCGGTTGGTCGAACAGAGCTACAGGTAGGTCGAGTGGAGCGACAAATCGAAGTGTTCTCAAGTCAATGAGGGTGTCGCAAGTTCAAAGGAACACCGACCGATCGAGTCAAGGCCCTTGGATGACATGGTTGAAACTCGACCTGAAGGCATGAGTCTACGACTAGGTCATAAACAGATTTGGTCGTGAGGACACAAATTATCTTACCTTGGATTATCATGGCATAAACATGTTATTTCATGGGCTTGCTTTATAGATAATTTTCCAGACCTTCAAAATTTAGCGACTTTTATCTTTAACCGTAAATGAATGCAACAGGCCATATAAATTTGCCAATCTCATCTTTTATGGGTTTGCAAAAATAACCAAACGTAAAGATATTCTGGCCATTAAATATTTTTATAATTTTATTCCTCAATCGATGAAAATGGAAGTTAATTTCCTCAAGTTAGATAGACAGTCGTCTTCCGTTGGCCTCTAATACTACGTTCATTTCTATATATTAATTCAAAATGTGTTGAGATTAAGTGGCATATTCTCACGCTTGAGATGTTTAAATGGCGAAAATCTATACTTCGTGATGTTGTTTTTATATTATTTTTACTCTGAAGTTAGATTTGATATTAGACATAAATAACTTTTATCATATATTTTTTAACTCAACACTCGTCTAGTACACATGTATTGTAGTAGTCAAGTATTAATTCACAAACTTTGAGTCACATCAACAAAGACTCGCTACAGTGCTTGAATGCTATGTCTATCCATTGGGGGCAAATACTTAGGTGTGCCCTGGCACACCTTACTAGTTGTGCCAGGGCCTTTTGTGAAATGCAATCATCCCAAAGGCGCATGAGGCAAGAGGTAAGGAGGTAAATATTTTTTTTTTTTTAAATGGGACATGTGTCCCATATATCATATTATATAAATTAAATTATCATTAATGTTTTGTATCAAAAAAATAAAAATAAAAATACCAAAATTCATAATTTTTCATTCTCTACAAACAGAGACCACATTTGATATTTTTTTGAACACAATTAATTTATCATTTTTTATAATTAATTTATCTTATTGGAAGATTATGACGCAAATCTATAATTAGATGAATATGTTACATAGTAAGATGAACATGTTATAGAGTAAGATGGACATGTCATAGAATAAGATAAAAATGTTACATTTTCACAGATGAAATTTAGATGAACATGTTCTAAAATAAGATGAATATGTTACATAATAAAATGAACATGTTATAGAATAAGATGAACATGTTATATAATAAAATGAACATGTTATAGAATAAGATGAACATGTTACATAATAAAATGAACATGTTATAGAATAAGATTAACATGTTTAGATTCCATATCTACATCACGGGCTCTCACATTATTTTCTCCCATTTCCACTTCATACACAAAATTCTGGTCAATTTCTTGCTCGGCTTTCACTCGTTTAATGCAAGCATCCCCGCCCTGAAATAATAAGCAATAATCTACAGTTAAGAACTCAAATTTATGCAATAGTCATACTATAGGGAATGAAAGTGAAAAACCAGTAGAATGTAAAAGAAATTCCATAAATTAGTCTTTTCGATCGAATATCCTCCACCATCACAAACCAAAATCCTCTCTAATAAGATGAAAATGTTACATTTTCACAGATGAAATTTAGATGAACATGTTATAAAATAAGATGAACATGTTACATAATAAAATGAACATGTTATAGAATAAGATGAACATGTTACATAATAAAATGAACATGTTATAGAATAAGATGAAGATGTTACATACACAATAAGGTGAACATATTATAAAACAAAAAATTAGTTGTGTTCAAAAACCTATCAAATGTGGTCTCTATTTATAGATAATGAAAAATTATGAATTTTTGTATTTTTATTTTATTTTTTTAATATAAATAATTAATGATATTTTAATTTATGTAATATGTCTCAATTTTTAATTAAAAAGGAAAATTGGGGATGTGCACTACACTCTCTTAATTTCTCTAGTTTTGGGGAGTGAGGGGCGCGTGCAAATGTGCCCTGGCACACCTAGCAAGCCAGTTATCCCTGTGGTAACTTTTCTGACACCTCTAGTTTCAAATTCCGAAGGTCTAAAAGATCATTAGGCCACGCTTATTCGTACTGGAAATCAGAATCAAACGAGTTTTTACCCTTCTGTTCCACACGAGATTTTTGTTCTCGTTGAGCTCATCTTAGGACACCTGCGTTATCTTTTAACAGATGAGCCGCCCCAACCAAACTCCCCACCTGACAATGTCTTCCGCCCGGATCGGCCCGCCGAGGCGAGCCTTGGGTCCAAAAAGAAAGGCGTTGCCCCGCCTCCGATTCACGGAATAAGTAAAATAACGTTAAAAGTAGTGGTATTTCACTTTCGCCTTTCGACTCCCACTTATCCTACACCTCTCAAGTCATTTCACAAAGTCGGACTAGAGTCAAGCTCAACAGGGTCTTCTTTCCCCGCTGATTCCGCCAAGCCCGTTCCCTTGGCTGTGGTTTCGCTGGATAGTAGACAAGGACAGTGGGAATCTCGTTAATCCATTCATGCGCGTCACTAATTAGATGACGAGGCATTTGGCTACCTTAAGAGAGTCATAGTTACTCCCGCCGTT